AACTAGAGTTCGCTCCATGAAAGGACACCAAGAGCTTTGAAACTACTAGTGTATTGCTGCTGAAAATGACGTCTAATGTCATGGTTGTAAGATTGCTGTTGGTTTCATTGGCTGTAGGTGGATGGATGCAAGCTCTATCCAGGAGAAGACACTGCACCAGTTCTATTGAACATAAAATATTCATTGTCGCGAGATCAAGAAGCTGTTGAGATTCAGAAACATTTTAGAAAGGACACGACAGTTGGAGAGATGAAGGTTTGCAGGATGCGATGCTGATGATTTCACCTATCTCTTTTATATCATAAAGAAACCAAAAAAAATGTTAATGACTTCATTTATACGTCTGTCCTTCAACAGATCATAAGCAAGAACTATGAGAATAATTTGACTTACTGTTTTGTGTTGATAACTAGAAATCGTATAGTTGTTAATCATGCTCATTAAAGTGTTAAAGCAGTATAATAAAAGCACATCTGTTACCTTTCATGTCAGATTATGTTGTGCAACTCTGTTGGAATTGATGATCAAGATCTGCTCCTCAGTTGGGTGAAGTCAAAAGGTAAATAGAAGTTTGGATATCATAATTATCTAGTTATAAAAAGACCGTAATTCTAGCTTGAAACCAAGAACATATTTTTCTTTGTCATGAGCCTGATTAATGTAAACTCTAATGTCCTTTTCTTGTAGATATATTTGTCATTATTTTATTTTTACAGGTAAAACCAGTGAGGTTGTACCACTGAACTCTTTTCAGGTAAAGTTTTTCATCACCCTGTTTTTGCTTTGCGTGGGTGTCGACATGTCGTTGTGTGTGAGGAGCAGTTGTTTAAATGAAAAATCTTTTTTTTTTCCTTAGGATGGCCACGCAATAAACGAGGTCGGCCTTCAAGATGGTGACCTTCTGGTTGCCGAGAAAGCAATTCAAATGCAGTAAGTACAGTTTCGTCGTCTTCTCGCATCCTGTTACGCTTTTCTTTCAGTTTTCTTAAGTGCTCGTTAGTAAGTATTATCGTGTTACTCTTTTATCTCTTGGTGTTTAGATCCAGTGTCGTAAATGGAAGCTTAATACCTAGTTTGGCTTCTCAAGAGAATGAGAAACATTCCAGCATGATGTCGTTTGTGGTTGAGTGTAGGTGTTTGGTGAGTAGCATTCTTATGTCAGAACAGTCAGCAGTTAACGTGTGTGTTTTTACAAAAAAAATAGATGAACGCTCGTGTGATATCTCGCTGCTTTTACTGACACAGGCGGCAGAGTCCGAGGAACAGAGTCACAATGACAGAAGCAACTGTTGGCCAGTTTATCCTGTCAAAATTCACAAAGAGCAGGTAATAAAGTGGTCGACTTCTAAAGGCATGGATCGTACCCGTCTTCTAAATGTGTTATGCTCACGGCTCACCGTCTAGCCCATTGAGAACAAGCCGTCTGGCCAAGCCTGGTCATCCAAGTAGCGTCCTTCAGTAAGGCTGCTGTCTTAAGTTAAAATCTCTCTAAACAGCCAATTCTTGCTAGCCATTCAGAAACCAAGTGTTACCAATTGTAAGAATGTTTTCACCCATTGATTGGCAACTCCTCTGAGGAAAGTGCGGGCTCGGGCATTCCCACCACCCTCGAAGTCACCTACGAACGGTTCTATCTTGGCAAAGTGGCTAGATTAATGTCCAGGAATCAGTCATTGGATACATCCTACCTTAAGACAACTTAGTGTTACATTGCTTACTTTTTTCAGACCATTGGGGATCTCAAGACCCAAGTGCTGTCACATGCAGGCTTTCAGACCATGCAAGGTTATGATACTTTGAAATAAACAGTTAGACTGTTGAGATGGTGATGATCATTGCCATGTTGTCGACATTGAGTGATATTACTTGACAAGACTGAGATTCGTAACGGCAGCTTTGGATTCGTGAGGCTATGAAAATGTCGTTAACACTCAGTGTTTTGCCTAGGCAATTAAGCCATTCTTCTTAGCCAAGGGGCTGACCAGGTGAAGTCTGTTTCCGAAGTTAAATAAAGTGACGATGAANAAAATGTCGTTAACACTCAGTGTTTTGCCTAGGCAATTAAGCCATTCTTCTTAGCCAAGGGGCTGACCAGGTGAAGTCTGTTTCCGAAGTTAAATAAAGTGACGATGAACCAGTGCCGGCGTACAGAATTTCTGGAAACACAGAATGTTGAATGATATTGTTAGACGATAGTAGAGAGCAGTTTTCAAATTACTTGCCAATTAGACTACTCAGCCAGTCTCAAACCGTAGTAAAACCAAAATCAAAACCAAAGCAATTGCCTGATTACTTTCCACACTCAATTGACAACCGCTCTAAACAGTCTGCCGTATAAACCCCTCATTTAAAATACCTTCACTTATATCATATATTGGTATTTTTTCTTTTATCGTAGAATTTGCTT